TACTTGTCACCAGGGGATTTTCGGCAGATGTTTATTAGTGATGTGAAAGCCATTAGGTGTAAAGAGGTACAAAAAAGCATAGACAGAGTCAATAGTATGAGCCTAAATTATGGTCCCCCCTGTCCCCCCTCCCCAGCATGATTGTCAAAAAAAAAGTCCCCTTTGCCTTTTTTTAATTGTAAGGAGGAACAGATAACTGGAAGAAAGCATTCCCCTACCCTCTTTTCACAAGACTAAGCAGTCTTCTGTCTGGGATAGAATATACTAGCACTGTCAGGAAAACAAAACCAAAAATGTTTAGTATATAGCAGAAATCAGTGTAAGTTACTCCTTGATTTCCATTCAAGAGAATATAATTGTTGAGGTACTAGAAGGACCTTGTTATCTGACCTCTATGGCAATCCCACAGAGTCTACTCCAAGGTCCACTAGCATTAGTGAGAAGTGGCTAATCTATTCTTGTATTAACTGAAGAATTCATTGTCCTCACCACCACTACCAATGACCCAATAACCAAAGCAACTGCAGATCCAGCCCTGTTTATTAATGAATTCCAAGCCTTCTTAGGGATTTTCTCCATCATAATACTGCTATGTAGAGATGCCACTCTGAGGTCAAAATGGCACTCGATGAATTCCAAAGGCAAATACTATAGTGTGCTAGAAAGGGTACTGGACAGGTTGTCAGTAAAACTGAGTTCCAGCCTTGGCACTGCCACTGACCAGATGTTTGATCTTTGGTGAGTTATAAACCCTTTGGGCCTCAGTTTCTTTTTTTTGTAAAATGCAGGAGCTGAACTAGATGACCTCCAAACACTCCTTCTAGTTGTAAAAGATCTATTTTATTTTATCTTTGTTATCAGCTCTCATTCAATAAGCACCTGGGTGCTGCTATGTACAATATAAGGTCTACTCAGAAGATAAGGTTTATGTCAGTCAAATATTTATTATTAATTATATTCTAATAATAATAATGACATTTATATAATGCTTTAAAATGTGCAAAGGGTTATATATACATTATTTTATTTGAGACTCTCAGCAACTCTGTGTGCCATTTCCCTATTACACATGGGGAAACTGAGACTCAGAGATTGTGATTTGTCAATAGTCACCACAAGTAAAGTGTAAAAGACAGAAATTGAACTCAGGTCTCTCTTACTCCAGCAGAGTGTGATTATATCACACTGCTTCTAAAACATCTATTAGCTGCTATAGAGAATACAAAGAAGTATTAGACTTAGTCCTTGCCTTCAAGTTGCCTACAATCTCTTGTCAAGACAGAAAATAATATAAACAATGTCAGTTAAGAGACAATACAAGAATCATATGGCAATTTAAGACATTAGTATAAGAGATGTCATGAGGCAGTATCTGATTAATTGTCAAATTAATCCATAAACAATATGGGATACAACCCACTAATACCCACTAAATAACGTGGAGAAAAAGAGGTGGGAATAAGAGACCATTATTAGCACCCAGAGGAATAATTAACTTTAATTGTTTCCAAGAATTACACTCCCCTCTACCAACCCTGACCTTTTTCTGCATCCCCTCTCCCACTCTCTCTCTCTCTCTCTCTCTCTCACACACACACACACACACACACACACACACACACACACGCACACGCACGCACACATGCACACAAAAATACACACACACATGCACGCACATACATACCACCTCAAACTACATAAAGTACTCTTCCTTCTATCTTCTGCTTTTGACCCTTCTTCTCTCACCCTTCAACTGTAGAGCTTGGAGTGGTAAGATTTCCAGGTTAGGAAATGAGCCCTGTTACCTCTGGAGAGGTGATGTGATATAACAGAAAGAACATTGAGCTATCATCAATCAAAAGATATGGGTTTGTGTCCTGACTCTTCTACTTTTTAGTCATGTGACCTTAAACAAGGACCTTCATCTCTCTGAGTGAACATCAGTTTTCTCATCTGTCAAATGGGAATAATAGCATTTATCCTGCTTAATTTATAGGTCTATAGTAAGGATCACATGAAATGCAGTATATAAAATACTGTATAAATGTCAGGTATGAATATAAGCTTTTATTATTACCATCATTTTCTGGGCTTCACTTACAGCAGCTGCCCTTACTGTTCACCTAGTTATGCTATGGGCACCATTCCCTTTGAGCCTCTGTGCTGCTTTCCTATAACACTTCTCTGGAGCAAAGGATCAAGGATCTGAATTCTCTGTTTCTGGTGGCTGGTATCACCATCCTTCTTGAAATGTTTATTTTAATAAATGCCTTTGGTTATGGTTTTGTAACATTTGGCTAACAGCTCCCAAACCAAGCAGTTATAGTGGATAGTTGCACAGTCTAACTGTTCTCCAGCCAGATTCCTCCTCTCAATAAAGCCTATTTGATAAAATGTGAAGATTATCCGTGGGGAGAGGGTGGAAGGGTGGGGAGAGGGAGGAAAGAAGGGATGCTCTCCAAATGTCAGTTAAATGGCTTTTTGTAATCATTAAAAAGTGAACAAGAAGGCCCAACTCTCTTCTGGCCCCCTCCTTCCTCACCAGCACACATGTGCTCACAGCAGATAGAGGAAAACACCGAGACTTTGTGGAGCATTGCCTACCAGGAATAGCAGCTTGGAAGAAGGGAAAGGGGATAGGATAGAAGATAAGAGAAATTTACTCCTAGATAGGACCTTATAAAACATTTAGTCCAACTGTTGCATTTTATAGATGAGGAAACTGAGACCCAGAGAGGGGGCATGACTGGGTTTGGAATCCACAGTCACCTCAGTGCCTTACTTCTTTTCCCAGTGAGTAAGGTAGAGAGCTGTATTATTGCATCAGAGGGGACTGCTTCAAGGGAAATTCATTACTTCATTAAAAAGAAGACCATGAGCATACTGTATTGTGGGTGCTGGTCCAAAGGTTCACTTCACCCAAAATCTGGTCAAGTCACCCAGGCAGCAATGGTGTTGTGTAAAGAACGTTGGCCTGGGAGACAGGAGATCTGGATTCTGTCTTGGATCTTCTACTAACTTGCTATATGGCCTTGGAAAACATACTCAGTCCCCATGAGTTTTAGTCTCCTTATCTGCAAAAGGAGAGGACTGGAATAAAGATCTTTCTCCTGATAGAAAGTAAATACCTTGAAGGCAGGGACTATTTCTTTTTCTTTGTATTTCTCCCTCCCTTCCTCCCCAAGCTTAGCCCAGTGCCTGGCACATAGCAAGTGTTTAACAAATTCATGTCTCTTTTGTGTCTGACATTCTTTGAAGGAGGAGTGGGGTCCCACTTCTCAAGACAGTCATCACAGTATTTTTTTTTCCTTAAAGAAATAAGTCACTTGGGGAAACTCATAAACCATTTGAGAGGCCAAATTTAGCTGTGAAAACAGGGATGTTTAGTCCGTGTTCCTACATCCTTACTACCATCATGGCAAGTGTTGGTTGTAGACAGAGGAGAAAGGAATGAAGCTTTTCAAATTTTTAAATACCTTTTGTTTACATTAATTAGCCCAAAACAGAAGAAAAGATCTTACTCTATATGTATGCATCTATAAATATCCACCTGCACACCTATGGTATATTTACTTCCCTGTTTGTATGCATAGGATGTAAAAATCAAATGGTATTCTTCATTTTAACATAGAGGTCCTCAATTAAAGGAAATCCACTAGGTATTCATTTACACTTTCAGAAATAATAGTTTATGATAATGATCTCTTCGGGTGGCTAATACCCTATCTTGTGGCAAGACACCTTCCCAATCCACCTTTTATCTTAGGGAATTTACAAAGGATTCTAAACAAGCACATCAATAGCCACCAACTTCCAGGTCAGGACTGTTAAATAAATAAGTAAACAAACAAATAAGTGAGATAACACCAAAGAATCTCCCCTCTCCCACCCCTAACCTCCACACACACCTTGGAAGGAACAGATTAAAGCTTGGGGCTTAAAAGGGAATCGTTATCTTGAGACAGAGATTAAGCCATAGACTAAGCTTAAAAGACTAGGCAAACTAAAGATTCATCAATCCTTAGGACATGTCTCCTCATGTGGATCCAACTCAGAGGGAAAATGACCAATTTAACATCAACATTTTTTAAAAATCATACAAATTATATTGGGATGGCTGTGACATCTCAAACGTTATGACAGATTGAACGATCTGTCAAGTCTTATCAAACTGGAAAGTATCAGAATTGTGGTATTTAATAGAACTATATGCGTCTGTCATCCAAGGACTAAATGCTGAGAGGCAATATGGTGGCATAAAAAGAGGACTGGTTTTAGTTGGATGACCTTAATTTGAATCCTGGCTCTGATATTTTATTCCCTGGGTGACCTCAGGCAATTCAATTAACTCCCTGGGCCTTAATTTCCTTGTTTGTAAAATGAAGGAGTTGAACTACCTGACTTGAGTTGATCCCCTCCAACTCTACTTTGCTGTGGTCTGGTGTGATATTTTAGGTTTCTATATATTTTGTGACTTATTTTAAATGTGATTGTTTTATCTGGCTTTCCTTTTTCTTTTGTTTCCTAAATTATTATTTTTGCCTGTTTTGGAGCCCAAATGTTTTTCTGCGTAAAAACACCTGGAATTTATAGTGGGAATAATTGGAGAAAAGGGATTCTGTTTTTGGAAATTTCACTTTTAAAACTCCTATTCAGGATCATAACTGTTTTGTAACATAAGGTCAGAGTCATGTCATCTCTTCTCTTCCCAACCCCCATCCCCAAACAACCACTCTAGAACTCAGGAGTTTGTTGTTTCAACACACCTCACTATTTCCTTGTAGGATTCTATTGCTAAAACTCCACCGAGCTAGCCATCCTGTATTCTTATGCTACTATATATAACAACTTTACATAAAAGAATACAGGACTGCCATTTTTAGAAAATGCAGGTGCCATATAAGCCTCTTTCTGAAAGAAAGAACTTAGCTCAATTTCCTTTGAAGAACTGGAGACTTGAAACTGAAAACTTTATTAATGCCATTGTCTCCTTGTATCAGCAGGTTCCAGAGAGATTCCTGGAAGTCGCACAGATCACATTACGAGAGTTTTTCAATGCCATTATCGCAGGCAAAGATGTTGATCCTTCCTGGAAGAAGGCCATATACAAGGTCATCTGCAAGCTGGATAGTGAAGTCCCTGAGATTTTCAAATCCCCGAACTGCCTACAAGAGCTTCTTCATGAATAGAGATTTTCAACAACTCTTTCTGAATGTATGAAAAGTAGCAGTCCCCTTTGGATGCCCAAGTTATGTGTATCTAAATTTTGATTTCATATACATGTGTATGAGAGACATAGATATGTTTATGAAATCAGCTGGTAATTCTGCCTCCTCTTCATGAACTCTCTCTTTTTTTTTCTTTCGTGTTGTTCTGTTGCAAGGGGATACTGAATTGTCCTTCTGCCTTCAGTTTACTTTTTACCCAAGGCCCTTAACATTTGGAGACTTAAATGGGGTTCATTTTCAGGGAGAAGAATTTTGAAGTGGGTAAAGCCTGTCTTAGCAAGGTAGGGCATCATGTATGTGATGCCTCGGTCAGATACTTGACTTACTGCTAAGTGGCATTTTGGCCGAGGGAAACCAGCATCACGGCACACTACTGTAGACAATGAACTTTCCTCTTGTTTTTACTGCTGAAAAGGTCTGAAACTCTATGGAATCACTATTTAAGCTTAGTTTTATTTTATTTAGCTAATTATGTTGCTTTTGCTTTCATCTCTAAAAACAACTAATGACATTTTTAGCAGCTCATTGCCTGAAGTGATACCCCCAGAAGACTAGATTCCAAACAAAACAAAACAACAAAAAGCTATCGACCTTTTCCTAATAGGAATGATGAGTACCCCCACTCCCAAATTAGTGACTTAGCTGCCACTTTCTTATTGAGGCAAACCAATTTTGCACAAGATTGACCCTTTCAGGTTGAGATTGGCAACTCATGCATGATGGTCTAGCCACTTCTCTCATTTTACAGTATGGTCCTCTTGTTAAAAAACAGAACATATTTCATTCTCCACAAAGTAAAACCTAAATCTTTTCTATTTACTCTCATCTTGCTTCAGATACTAAAAGGCACACAAGTTTCAAACCTACTCTTTGCTCAACTTTGCTTAAAGTTGTATTAAAAAAAAAACTCTATTTGATATTTAAGTCCCCCCCATATAATTTTCTGAATTACCCTTATACAGGAAGAGAAAAATAATCCCATCCTGGACTTTCAATTCCTGGTTATCCTGTAAGCTTTTTTTTTTAATAACAATTAAGTTTGCTTGAACTTCACCTTGTCAGAGGAACACATATAAGAATGACCCTTCCCCCACAAAAAAAGATTGATTTTTCAAATTCACAAGCATTTGTTAAGCACCTACAATGTGACAAAATAAGTCATAGAAACAATCCCCCACTGTATTGATGGATATGCAAAGTGATGACAACCTAATTGTTTTTTTCCTTGCGTTTCTGTGCAGCTTTTAAAAATGAGTGATGTGCTACCAGTCTCTTCTAACACAGAAGCTAGTGTTGACCAAAATATGAGTAGAGTGAGTGTACAGTATAGTAAAGTTTGGGATTAACCTAAGTGATACTATTTCAGCATAATATAAGAAAGCTAGCTGCTAGTTCTTTGTGCTTTCTTCACTGGTTCTCCTTTTTTATTATTTTCTAAATTTCAAGTGTATACTGTCCAATATTTACTTTAAAAAACACATCTGATGGCATTTATACTTCTTTTTTCTGAATTTTTTTTGAACAGATGCAGTAAGAATTTATTATTCATTAATGTTTTCCGTCCCCTCCCCCTTCATCAGGTAATTTGGTTAAAAGCAATTTTCACTAAATGATTCATTAACAAATCTGGCATTTAGATCATAGGGAACATAAATATGGCATTTCCTTAACTTTTTTTTTCTATTCCAAAATTGCATTTGACTTTGGAGAGTGAAAGTTTACCCATGTGACTAAAGAGCTGACCTGATCACTGCAATTTCACTTCATTTATAAATACTGCTGATAGACAGAAATGTATGAAAGCTATTATTGTCAGCACAAAGCCTTAAAAACCTGCTGACTTCAAATTAAACAGCCCAATCCTATGATGCCCTGTCATTATTCCCAAGCACAGGCAGGATCCCTGCCGTATAGACAATGAAAACAATAACATGGGATGAAGTGCCAGCAGCTTCAAAATGAGTCAAACACAAAACAGCTTTTCCAGTGCACTTTTCTTAAAGGATGGGTGCATCAACAGGATATGCATCTTTTTTTCTTAAAAAAAAAATAAAGTATGATTTGGCAACTATGGCATTTAATATGTCTACAATCCTATCTGCACTTTGTAAAGAGACGATCAACTGGTGGTAGTCCCCTCTTTGAGGTATTGCTATCCACCAGAAAAGGTGATCTGCAGGCCCAAATGAGGAACAAGTCAGTCCTTGGTTGTTAAAATGTCACTGACGTGGTGTTACAATACTTCATTGCCACTGACAATGGGAAAAGGCAAAGCCATACTATATGCAGACTCTGGAAGAATTGCTATGTACTTTCTTGATCTGGAATGGAACTGATCCTTCAATTATGATGAGTTGATTTTTAAATTACAATTCTGCCCCCACCTCCTCCCCCCACACACTTTCCACCCTTCCCCTCCACCTAATTTAATTAAGCGAACTGAGCAAAACTGTAGACTCACACCTAGATGCTGTTGCATTTATCTAACGAGAGTAATAGACTCCTGATCTTCACTGAGGCATAGAAATGATTTCAGAGTAGAAGCTGAATCTGAAGGAAACATTTCATTGCTTGGTCACTTTGCTTCTGGGGCATGGGAGTTCCCCACCCAGTGCAGCCATATTATCTTATGCCTCTTAGTACATTGAAAATGACAAAAATCTGGGTGACAACTCTTATTTGATTAAAAGTACAAATTACCATCTTTCAGATGGTATGACCACTCTCCCTAAATGAAATCTGAATAGGTTGGAGAAGGCTAATTATTTGTGGTGGGGGAGAGTTTAGACAGAGAAAATAATTTAAAGTCCATGTTGAAATGACCACATTGCCACTCATTTTCTGCTAATTCTGATTTCTTTCTGCATACACACTTGAGGTTATAGTCTGTGCCTAGACCTTAAATGCACCAGCGGAAGGATTAAAAAAAAATCCTTCAAAATACCAGTTTTTTTTTCCCACAAGTACAATTGTTCTTGTGCCTTCTGTGGCTTTCAATTTCATCTTTTAGACTTTATTTCCAATTACTACAGCTGCAATAAACACTAGATTTTTTTTCTGGCTGTTTGACATAATGTTGATAGCTATGCATATTTTGTGTCTTTTTAAAAAAAAAACAAAGCGGCAGACTACGTTTTTGAAGAAGAGAATTTTTAGAACAGTTTGATAACGCAAATTATTTTTTTCCTCAATTGTTTGAGCAGCATTCAAGTTTTGAAAATTCTTGTAGAAGCCAATTTTTTGTAACTGTGGTGCAAATCTTGTGTTTTCTTAGCCTAAAGAAAAGTAGTATAGAAGCAATATTTCATATGATGTGCTATATATGTGTATGCATATGTATACATGTGTATAGACACGTACAGAATCTATCTATCTATATATATATATATATATGCGTGTGAAGTGAAAAGCTTACCTTTTTCCTATCTAGATTTAAGATCCTATTTTAGACATCTGTTATGTTTTGTGAAAAGAATGTTCTACTTGCAACTGCAAAACATTTAATTCTTACTGTATCTCTGGTTGTTTAATGAGAACGTTTCACATTAAATGGTATAACAAGTGGAATATGTTAGAATGTAGGCATTATTTAAGGAAATGTTCACCCATATATATTCCTGAGGTTTGCTTTGTGCCTCTGAGTATTATTTAATTAAAAGTGTTTTAAGTTTGCAGAATCTTTATTACTGTACCAGGGAAGTGGGTGAATATCTTTGAAAAAAAATACAAAAACATAAAAATTAAAAATAAAACATAAAACAAAACAAAACCAAGAGGGGAACTTTTATAAAGCAATGTAAATATTTAACCTTATGGCTGTTCTTGCATAATACATAGATTTTAATAACGACATTCTCAAAACATCTGTTGGATTTATTAGGAACACTTCAGTAACTGTATAGATAGTTGAAAGCATTCTTCAAAATCCAGCCTCTCTACTTTTAAAAGATAACAGTCTCTTTCATCAGATGTCAAGGACAAGGGTGATACAGTTTCTGTAAAAATTACAGAATTTTTTTCTATGTACATGAAGTCATTTAATAAGTAAAAAAAATTTCTTTTCCATAGGTTAATGTTAAGATATAAAGGTGAAGATATTTGTGGCTTTAAAACTAGGATTTTCACCAGCAGCATTGACAAATTTGTAAAATGAAGAGTGGTTTACAGCTCCCCCAGAATAAGCATTGTACATGAGAAGTTAGAGCAAAAATGATTTGCCATGTGTATTATAGAGTATTCATTGGTGTAACTAGTGCAAATGTTTCCTTCTGGTACCAACTCTGTGTTTGAATATTCCAAGAGGCATTGTTTTCAAAAAGCTCCCCTTAAAATTATGTAACTGGTTTATATGAGTATCAGTTACTGTATTGCACTTAACTGTTATGTTGAAGGAAATGCAATTTTGTTTTCTGTAGAACTGTTGGTTGTAAACCATCCATAAACTGAAGCTAAGAAAGGCTCATTCAAAGCTGGGATTAAAAACTGGTATTTTTTAGCCTTTGGATCTTCTTAGAAACACTCTTTGTGTGGAGTTGGATGGCATCTGAACTCTTCAGAGTCTTATTACCTAAGCTACAATTCCTCCTCCCAAATCTGCCATCCAGTAAAATGCAGTGTGTCTGAGAGGGAGAAGCCACCAGGAGACATACGTTTCTTGGGCTAGCCCTCTCACAGGAGGATTTATTCATTCTGTATTTGGAAAAACATAGGTCCTCCCCATAGTGGGACAAAAGCCGTTCACAAATGTGTTCGAGTTGCTCCCTACAAAATCAGAAATCAGAGTGAGAGAAACCCATAATGAGTTGGGCTGAAAGCTCCCTAGAAGAGTCAAAGGTTAAAGTTCACACTGGTATCATCCCAGACATTACTCATTTGTATATAGTTACAAAACATGACAAGACACTGCCTTTATATTATTTAGCAATATGTTGTAAATAGCATTAAGCTCTTTTTTTTGTAATAAAGACCCTTTAATTTGAAAATAGTACAATAACTGAACTGATAAAGTCAATTTTTGAGTTTGTTTTGTTTTGTTTTTTTAGTTAGAGGCAATTTCAACTGTGGATTTTTTGTTGTTGTTGTTGTCTATTGTTCTAAAGACTTTGCATAATTTATTGGTTTAATTTATCCTAATTTATTTGATGAAGGTGTACAATTTTGTATTACCAAGGATGTACTGTAATATTAATTGATGATATGATTAAAAAAATGAGGTTCCCTGTCCATATTAAATAAATTTTTAAAAGGTGCAGTAGACAATTGATTTTAAAGTCAAAGTGAACATTTTAGTTTGGCAGCTACTAAATTTTAAAACAGGAAAAAAAAAGACGTTGTTTGGGGGTAGGGTGGGAATGGGGTTTTATTTTGTGTGTTTTAAGCTTTTGTATACTCTCCAAACTTTGACCTTCTTGCTTTGTACCACTTAAAGGATACAGTAGTTCAATTGCCTTGTGTGCCTTCCATCTTCTCTTAAACTGAATGTATGTGCAGTATATATGCAAGCTTGTGCAAAATAAATATAAATTACAAGCTCATTGATGTGCTTTGGATTTTTTCTGAAAATATCTTGTAGGGGATTGAATGTGGGGTCAAGGTCCACTCAAGGCAACAGACTATGATGCAATTAGGATGAAAGTTAGAGTGTTTATCCCCTAACACTCTGGATGATAAAACCTGATAACTGGGCCCTGAACACTGATGATACAAATGCCTTTTGTTACCTGGGCATTTGATTCATCCAGATTTCAGGGTTTCCAGGTAACCTCCTATTGCCACAAGGTTGATTCCAAGGACAAATTTACCTTTGTTTATCCCTTATGAGGAAGAACACAAAGCCAGGTTGGGTCAAACTGCCGTTATAATTTTCTCCCCACAGTTTCTAGTTCCAGATGATTCAGAGGAAGACGTAAACATGACCACATTTCACCCACTTGCTAAAATCATAGAATTAAAAAGAGGTCAGCCTAGGACAGGAGACATGGTAGAACAGAAAAGGGACATTGAGACACAGATGGAATTGAGACACAGCAGCCTCAAGTTCAGCTCTGACACTTCCAAGTTATGTGACCTTGGCCAAGTCATTTATTTCATCTCGGAGCCTTAGTTTCTTCATCTGTAAGATGAGGCTAATTGCACACAAGCCACTGTCTCCCTCAAGGGGTTGTAATAAGGAAATGTCTTTGAAATCCAGAAAGGGTAATAGAAATGTTAACTGTTCTTTTGTAAACTGTTCCAGGAGAACCAAAAGCATTTGTGACTTCTATTCTGGCAAATTTAACGACTGAAGAGCTACTCCTGACTTTCATGAATGGGTTTGGAGTAGTTTCCTCTAGCCAAACTTCCCAGAGTAGTAAGTATTCGTGGTTTGGCTTTAGGGGGGAAAAAACTGCCTCTCCTTCCATTTGTCATTTCGAGAAAGCTGGCAGTGCAGTGAATTGAGTAGAGGGCTTGGAAATCAGAGGAACCTGAATTTATATCTGACCT